CCCAAACAAGCCGGGGTAAGCGATCGGATTGATCCAAACTTGAGTTATTCACCGACAAAGCCAGATAGGCTTTCAAATCCGCATTGGATAAAATCGAAATTTGAATATCAACAAAAGTTATATTTTCCATCGTCGCATCAATAATATGAGACAAGTCTGACCCTAATGAAGTCATCGGTGAGTCATGAGAAGAAGATAACTCATTCAAAAGAATTGTATTAACATCACACAAATCTAAGGTGAGGCCATCCACAAACAGACAATAAACATGAGCAGTTTCAACATTTGCAAATGTATTAGCATCATCGTTACCAACAGCAACAGAAGGCTCGTCCCTATCAACAACTAGAGAGCCCATGACATTAGCAGCAAGTTGAGGACGGGTTTAGAAGGTGCAAAGTGATTGGTTCACAATAGGTATAACACCCATATAATTCACACTAGACAAATCAATCGGAGAAACAGGTTCCATAGGAGCAACCGGAGTATTAACAACATGTTCAGGAGGGGCAATGATGCAATCCACAATAAATCCAATAGCAGGGACAGAAGGCTTAGCAGTCGAATCCTATTGAAGAACAACAACAGGACCAAAACATCACCAACATGAGTAAGCAATCCATTAATAGTTGGAGCCTCAGAAATAACATGATCATCAGACTCAACTCCTACAGTATTAACAACATGATCAGCAGGAGCCCTAAATAAGTGGGTGAAGAATACAACAATTAGTTTTACAATGCACCAACGCTTTACAATGGTCACAAAATGGAGGAAACTCCTCCATAACTACTTTTTGGACATAACCTAAATTATTTGGACCGATCCAAACAACCTCAGGATAACTTTTAGAGATATCCACTTCGATAAGCACCCTGGTGACAAATAGCCTTGAGCCAATGGCAGTATCATTATCAGTTTTCAATGGTTGGCCAAATAGTGAGCCTAAACCATGAAGAATTCGTGGTGAAAACAGTTGAAGCCTGAGATTTGGGAATGAAACCCAAATAGAAATAATATGCGATTCCACATTTATATCAAAAAAAGGAGATCATTTAAACAATTTCATATAGCAGTTGGGAACAAAATAAGAACGATGGGAAAAAACTTTACAGTAATCCATATCATTAGCCAGCTTGATTAAAACGTGTTGAGGGTCCAAAAGAATAACAGAGCAATCACCGATCAATTTCAGATTGAAGAAGAACTTACGAATCAAATCTAGAGGCGGTCTAAGATTTGAGAATTTGCCAACCATGGAAAACTCAAAAGGTTGAGCTAGGGCATAGATTTCTTCCTCCGAAATCCCAAGGGACAGAATACCTCAATGCATTAAAGGATGGAGGTCACGAAACTCATAAGAAAGAGAAGCCCCGGACAAGGATTGGAGGAACAAACGACAATTTTTATCTCCATTGAGAAAGCTTCGGTTTACCGTCATCCACCGGCGGAGGCACAAACGAAAAAAAAAAAAAAAAAAAAAAGCTGAAAGAGGGAGAAGAAGTTAAGTATATTTACAAAAAAATATAGTAGTTGTCATAAAGGAATCTATCTGGTTATAAAATTAAGTGTTGCAAAGATGAGGATACTTAAGTGGATGGGTGGCTTTACATCTAGAGACAAAATATGAAATGAATATGTGCATGAAAATGTTGAAGTAACTCCAATGGTAGATAAGATTAGAGAGAATCATCTTAGATGGTTCTGTCACATAAAATATCAACCTTCCAAAGAGTTGATAAGAAGATTAGATGTACTAAATCTAGTATATATTAAGAAAGATAGTGATAAATCTAAAAAGAATTGCTTATAAATTATTAGAAATGACTTTATGTTATTAGATTTAAATGAGAATTTGACTCTTAATATAACACAATGAAAAAAAAAAAAAAGAGATTCTTGTAGCTAACCCCATGTAGTAGGATAAAGACTTGATGTTGTTGTTATATGTTATAAAATCCAATTTCATGATGAGTCAAACATAAAATATTTTTTTTTAATAAAGAGAACATGTTGATATAATATAAGGTTTATACTAAAAGTTCATAAAGAAATTGAGGCCTAATAAAAAATTTTGGCTAAAAATAGAGATTTAATTAAGAATTACATTCATCATTCTTGTACATTTGCTTAATTCTCTGATTAATAAATTCTTTTTTTTTCCAAAAAAAAAAAGAATCCATATCAACCTACTTCATTTCATTTATGTGCATTGGATCTTTTTCCCAATTTCTTGCAAGTGCTAAGAGATCAATTTAAATTTCACATTAATTTCTATAGGGATAAATATGAATTGAATGTCTACTAGTGACTCCGCTTTATTATAACTTGTTCATGATTGTTTGATAAACGATCAAGTAATCAAACAATCATGAACGTTTTTTTAAGTACTTATTGGATAAGCGTAGGGCTGCAAACGAACCGAGCCGAGCCGAGTATGTGAGTGTTCATGTTTGTGTTTGTTTAACATGATAAGCGTGAACAACTATGCGTTCGACTTGATTCATAAACAACATCGTTTAAAGCTTGTGAGCAAGTCCGATAAAAAACTTGCTAAAAAAAACCTGATTTGTTTTTTAAAATATGTTTCTTAAGGTTGGCTTGAATCTTTATTTGATACATTTTTAGATAATTTTTAGTTGTATTAAAATAAATTATTATTTTCATATAAAAAAATTATTTACGTTTTTATATTATAATATTTCTTTAGAATAAACTATTCATGTACAAAAGATGTTTGCTAGATTGTTTATTTAAAGTTTTCACGAACAAAACTTGTTCATAAAAAGAATCATTTTTTGAACTCGTTATTTTTTCGCAAAAGGTCTAGTTTGGTAGCTGAAAAACACTCACTAGATATGTTCGTAAACTGGCTTGTTAGTAGCTCAAAAATACTCGCTACATATGTTTGCAAATAGGCTCTACTGTAATTGTTTATAAACAGTTTCAATAAGTCTCGTATGTTAAGTTAATAAACATGTATAAAGTAAAGCGAGTTAATAGCTCGACAATATTTGTTTGTTTAAAACTTAATAAGCACTAAACGAACAAAATCTGAGCCGAACACAAACCAACGTGGACATCTATTATTTTAAATAAATCAAATTTGAGCACGAATAAAAAAGCTCCAATTGAGCTCGACTAGAGCTTGAATAAGTTAATAATAAATAAGCTCAAGCAAGAACAAGTACTTGCTCTGCTCAACTACCCCAATCATAGGTGTTCATTATTTTTCCTCATTTTGAATGATCAAAGTTTATTATTGGAAAATCACTTTAAAAACACAGAAATTTGTATCATTAAGATCCTTATGAACTAAACAAAAAAATTACATAACAAAAAGTACAATTAGGACTTTTACGGCAATCTCAAAGCATTTAGAAATAAATCCAACACAATAATTTCTTATGACAGAATACGAAATGAGTAATGCCAAATTTGATTCAGAGTATCGTCGCAACAAACAATAATTATTTCCAAATTACAATTAGCAGACAATATCCCCCACACGAACAAAAAAATCAGAACTATCAAACCAGATGAGAACATAAGAACCCATCTCCCTTTTATTCTGGCTTCGAGAAGAAATCGTTGACAGATGGCATGATCTGAGGCTCTTTATTGCGTACATATTTTCTAAGGCCGTGTTCTGCATATTTCTCCCCTTCGGCGTGATTGTCGAGCACTCCAGCTGTTCGATTTTCCTTGAGCACCCTGGTTAATTGAATAACAAATTTATTAAGCAAGATTTTAAATGGTTTATTGAAATTAATTTAGATGTAATTAATATTGTTTGAAAATATAGCCTTAGAGTTTCAATAGGATGTTAAATAATTTATGGCCCTTACCTCCATTACATTGTTACCAAAAGAACATTGAATCATATATTGTTTGTGCCCCCTTGCTCCAATCTCCTGTTGTTGATCATCTTGGTGTGGAAACTTAGACAAATATAGGGTTTTGTGAAGTTAATATGATGAATCTGAATGACAATTTAGATCCTATCATCCTAATCTCCTTTCTATGGGTTTTGATGTGAATGATGGCGTGCCTCTCATTAATGTCTCCATCTACATTGTTTCTAACGATGAATTGTTAGCTCAGTTGGGAAAGGAAAAAAGAATTGGATCAGCGCGATTAGGTAGTTGATTGTGATTCATCAGCTAATTGGAATTTGGGGGATGAAATGGATGTGCTTGGAGATGATTCCCTGGATAATTATGGGTTAAATGTCGTTTGAAAAGCTGATGAAGGTTTCTATAAAATGTTGGCAAGCATAGAAGGAGAAATGAAAAAAAAAGAATAATTTCTCATCATGTCGGGTGCTTTTTCCCTAATTGCTTGGGTGTGTTGTCTCCGTTTTTTACTGTTGAGTGTGATCTTCTTGGTGTTTTGCATTGTGCTTTTGTGTGGTTGTTTGGCTTCTGTAGGCTGGTTGGGGAGTTTGGCCATTTGGCTTGCTAGGTATGTGGTTGGCGGTTGGTTTTTTTGGGCCTATTTGTTCTGTTGGATTTATGCTCCTGGTCGTTTGGTTTGCGGTTTCTATTGGTTTATCCCTTTATTCATCTTACCGATCTTGTCTGATTCCTTTTCAAGTTTTTCTTGTAGGTTGCTCGTGCCTAAACTTCTCCCTGACTGGGATGTTTCCGGATGCTCTCCATCAATGGATTTAGTTGCTCTCTTTTTTAACTTATTTGTTTATTGTAATAGGTTAGAACAACTGCTCTTAAGTTTTAGTTCAAATGATGTTTTTTTACTAGGCTTTTGTTCTATAAAGAACTTGTAATTCTATTTTATATTAACACGTAGGTCCCTTATATGAGTTAACAAAGGCTTGATGTTGTTGTGGGTTTTATCACCAAAAATAAAAAAACATTCAACAGACTCATCAAATTTGATATATATCATAACTATCTGAAAAACAATATTATCTAAATAACAATGAACAAACAACCCTTTAAATCAAAATCAGACCTGACATCAGGATTCGTCGTTATGTTCCTCATTAATTGCATCACACAAATACCTACAGCAGTTCCAACTGCTGCAAACAGCGGATAGACCTAACCATTTAATTAGAAAAAATAGATCAATAAGACTAAAAAATTTCTTCCCCAAAGATTACAAATACAAAAAAAAACACCATCATAATCTAATCAAATATTCATAACATAAAATAAAAGAGACAAATCGAAACAATAGCTGGATACCTCAGGCCTCAACCATCTTTTGACTGTCGATGAAGCCATTGGGGCACGCAAGAGAAGCGAATATCAGAAGAGAAGAGGGGAAGAGAAGAAGAGAGAAATATATGAAGCAAAAACTTGCAAAAGACGAGAAATAAATATTGCAAGATTGCATTTAAGGGAGAGAAAGAGGTAAATTTTAGTATGAGAGCCGTTTCGGGTTTGGGCTGGCTTCGCCTGAACCGCTAGCTGTACACGTTTTCTTTGTTATTCTCCTCTTAAGGGGACCGGAAATCGGAGTAGAAAATAAGGACTTGATCTGAATTTGTGGTCGGGGTGTTTGTAATTAGGGATGGGTGAGGTTGGGTGGCTTTGAAAATATGGAAGGAAAGCTTGACTTGCTTTTTGGGGTTTTTTATTGTTAATGCAGATACAAGGCCACAAAATCTACGGATTGAAATTTCTAGAACCCGTGGAGTTTGACTTCTGTTTCAATTTCTACGAAAAAGAAGTTATTGAAGATGACTAATTTAACATTAAAAATTTAAAATATACTGGAGTTATATTGGCTCGTAAGTTGGCTAAATTTTATAGTTGATGAGTCAATTTTGTGTCAGCGTTGAGGTGCGAGCAGGTGGCTAAATTTTATAGTTGATGAGTCAATTTTGTGTCAGCGTTGAGGTGCGAGCAGGCGAGCACGCAGGTGCGGCCGTGCAGGGTGAGTGTGTGCCACGCTTGCGTGAGTGTGGGGTAGCACATTGTGTGCGAGTGCTGAGGGAGACATGGCGGGATCATGTGAAGCAAGATTGGACTAGATTGACCCGGATCAAACCCAATTTTTCAAACGGATTGAAAAACGAAACTCGAAGTTAGCACATTTGTTAAGGTCGACCCAAACTAGAATTTTCTAGGTTAGATTCGGATCGGGTTACCGAGTCGGGTCAATAATTGGCATCCATATAGTAGGATAAAGACTTGATTTTATTGTTATAGGTTATAAAACCCAATTTCATGATGAGTCAAACTTACATTAACTTTTGTAATAAAGATAACATGATGATTTAATATTAGGATTGATCCTAAAAGTTTAGAAAGAAATTGGGGCCCTAATAAAAAGTTTTGGCTATAAATAGAGATTTAATGAAGAATTACCTTCACCATACTTGTACATTTGTTTAATTCTCTTATTGATATTTTTTTTTTCAAAAAAAATAAGAATCAATATTACCCTACTTCATTTCATTAGTGTGAGCTCGATGTGCGCATGGATCCTTTTCTATGTCTTCCAAGTGCTAAGAGATCAATTTAATTTTCACATTATTTTTCACTAGTGCTACATATGAATTGATTGTTCGACAAATTACTTGTAACTTAGCTAGATTATAGCTAGTTCACTAGTGCTACATTTTTTAAGATTGGCTTGAATCTTTATTTGGTTTATTTTTACATAATTTTTAGTTGTATTATAATAAATTATTCTTATTTTATATAAAAAAATATTTGTTGTTTTTATATTATAATATTTCATAAGAATGAAACTATTCATCTACAAAAGATCTTTGCCAGATTGTTTATTTAAAGTTTTAACGAACAAGCTTGTTTATAATAAGAATCATTTTCTAAAACCGTAATTTGTCCCGAAAAAGGCTTGTTTTCTAGTTCGAAAATACTCACTGGATATATTCATGAGCCGACTCGTTTAGTAGCTAAAAAATACTCGATGATAATATATATATATTTGCAAATAAGCTCTAGTTATGGGTTTGTCAGCAATCTCAATAAAAATCATATGCTAAGTTATTAAGCATCTAGAAAGCAAAACTAATTGATAACTTTATAAGATTTCTTTGTTTAAAGCATAATAAGCATGAAATAAATCGATCAGGATTCGAACTCAAACTAACATGAATATTCAATAATTTAAAAAATCAAATTTGAGCGAGAATAAAAAAGCTCCAATTGAGCTCAAATAAAGCTTGAAAATCTATCTCACCGATTAAACAGTTCTCCTAATGCTTAGCTTGGTTGGTAGACAAGTACAGTTGGGAAACCCCCAACCCCTGCTCGATTCCCCTCGAGCAGCAGTGCCTCTTAAGTGGGGCCCAATCAAGTGCGGGCCCGAAGGTATATGGGGTAGATGCCGCCTCTTCTAGGTCAGCCGAGAATTAGTCACGCCGCCAAACGCTCTTTCCGGTATGGCATTGGGTAGATACCCCATTCAAAAAAAAAAAAAACAATTATCCTAATTTCTAAATACGTAATTCATTTCACTAAAGTAAACAAGATTACCAAAACACAAATACATCACATTCAAATTTGAGCTCTCAAACTAAACAGAAAAAAATTACATAACAAAAAAAAAATACAATCAGGATTTTTATGGCAATCTCAAAGCATTTAGACATAAATCCAGCACAATAAGTTCTTATGATACAATACGAAAAGAGTAATGTCAGTTTTGATTCAGAGTACCGTCGCAACAAACTACAATTATGTCCAAATTACAATAAACAGACGATATCCCCCACACGAACTAAAATTCAGAACTATCAAACCAGATGAGAACATAAGAACCCATCTCCCTTTTATTCTGGCTTCGAGAATAAATCGTTGACAGATGGCATGATCTGAGGCTCTTTATTGCGCACATATTTTCTAAGGCCGTGTTCTCTATATCTCTCCCCTTCGGCGAGATTGTCGAGCACTCCGGCTGTTCTTTTTTCCTTGCGCACCCTGGTTAATATTAATCAATTTTTTAGCAAGGTTTTAAATGGTTTATTGAAATTAATTTTTATATAATTAATATTGTTTGAAAATATAGCCGTAGAGTTTCAATAGAATGTTAAATATTAATTAATTTACTTGAAGCAATGATTGATACAATTTACCAGTAAATAACTCATATTTTAACCCAACAAAATAATTCCCAATCATATGAAAATATCAATCTAGTACAATGTCTCTTTAATAGGAATCAAATTAGTATTTGTAGGATAATTTAGATCCCAATTCGACTAAGGCTTTGTTCGGGACAGTTTTTTGTAAAAATATCTTGAATTAGAAAATTTTATACTAAAAAGTCATTTTAGGAAGCAGTACGAAAGCAGTCCCAAACGAAGCCTCATTTTAAGATAATTTTCTTACTATTTCTTAAAGCAGCTTTCTAGCATAAAAATTTCTTAATCTGATTTTTTTTATAATATAAAGCTACTTTAAAAAAATAATAATAAAATCGTCCCCAGTGAAGCCTAAAATAATTTTTTTAATTAATCAGAAATGATTTTGATCATTTATAAAAAGTGAGCGAACCATTATCACCATTTATTTCCATTATCTCCATTACATTGCCACCACAATAACATTGAATCAGATGATATATATCATTATTATAATAAAAAAATACTATCATCAAAATAAAAATGAACAAAACTGCCCTTTAAATCAAAAGCATACCTGACATCAGGATTGGTCGTTATGTTCCTCACTAATTGCATCACACAAATACCTACAACAGTTCCAACCGCTGCAAACAGCGGATAGACCTAACCATTCAATTAGAAAAAATTAGATTAATAAGATTTAAATTTCGTTTGAGACTATTTTCTTACTGCTTATTAAGATAATTTTTTAACTAAAAAAAGTTACTTTAATAACAGTAAGAAAGCCGTCCCAAATAGGAGATATTATTCTGTGCGGACATCGGACGGGAGAACCATCCGGCACAGCTTGGTACCGAACGGTAGGTATCGCGCTCTGTACCGAGCACGGTACACTTTTGGGGTGACGTGGTGCATTTTTATTGGTCTCTGGACAATGCGTCCAAACTCCACACAAAATAATTTATCCCCAAATAGAACCTATAATTTTTTTTTCCCCAGAGATTATAAATACAAAAGAAAGCACCATCATAGCTAGATACCTCAGGCCTCAACCATCGATTGACTGGAGCCATTGGGAATGTAAGAGAAGCGAATAGCTGTAGAGAAGAGAGGAAGAGAAGACGAGAGAAATATATGAAACAAATACTTGCAAAGGACGAGAAATAAATATTGCAAGCTTGAATTTAAGGGAGAGAAAGAGGTCTATTTTAGCATGAGAGCCCTCTCGAATTAGGCTGGTTTTTCCTGAACCGCTAGTTGTACTCGTTTTTTTTGCTATTCTCCTGTTTCGGGGACCGGATATTAGAGAGAAATAAGGATTTGATTAGAATTTTGTGGTCGGAGGGTTTGTTATTATGAAACGGACAGCATATTTGTTCGGTGATAATGGGGTGGCTTTCTTAATATGGAAGGGCAGCCTGAGACTGCCATGGTTTTTGGGGTTTTTTTTTTTTTTTTTTTGATGGTGGAGAGACAGAGCCCCAATATCTAAGGATTGAAATTTCTAGACAAAATTATGTTTTAAGAAACAACAAAAAAATAATTTCATAATTTCAAAGGAAGCCTTAAGAGTTCATTTGAGAAATAGTTCATGGGCTAAGCTTTATTGTTGATGAGCCAATTTTGTGTTATTTTTGACTTAATTCATTAGCACATAATTCATCTAGTTTAATAAATATTAATAAAATATATATATATATATATATATTTAAAATGTATTACAATTTAAAATTTTAATTATGAAATAATTAAAAATTAATTATCATTTTCATAGATTAATTAATTTATTATAATAAAGATTTTAATCTCAATCATTTTATCTTGTTTCATAATAAATTTTGATTTTATAATAAGTGAGTAGCTCGTGAGTCGACTCAAACTCATGGAATTGAGCTCGAACTCTTTGAGTTGAGCTCGAACTCAAAATTATTCAAGCTCAAGCTCAAATTTGATGTGACTCAAGATCAGAGCGATTCATTTAGACCTCTAATATAAATATTTAGTATCACAAATTATAACCAAATTCAAATTAAATATGAGATGAGTGAAATTTACATTTTAGAATCCTTGATGGACTTTTTGAATGGTTTGCATGCTCTTTAGATTCTCAAATGCATCTATTATACTAATGTGATGGGTGGTTATCGTGTAAAAACATGACAATTGAAAAATATTTGATAGTGTATTTTGATGATATCCTAAGTTTTAGTTTTAGTGAAAATGAATATTACAACACTTGTAAAAAGCATTGAAAAATACTCATACAAGAAAAATTATTAATCAATCAAAAAAATATTTCTTTCTACAAATTAAGGTGATTTATTTGGATTTATTGAACAAATTTTGACCATTCTAAAGTAAAAAAAATAAAAAAAAAATCATAGAATGGACAGCACCTAAGAATTTTTTTGAGGTTATGAACTTCTATAGTATAGCTATTTTTTATGGGAGATTCATCAAAGACTTTGGTCCCTTTTGCACAAGAAGTCATAGATCAAATGAATATTTTAATTGTTTATGTGTTTGGCTTTGGGTTACATGATTTTTTTAAAAAATATTTGAAATAATTTTCAATACTTCAAGAATTAATTTGATGGAATTTTGAGTAAACATAACCAACTTATGACATTATTAAGTGAAGAGCCGAATAAAGCCAATCAATGTTATTCTACTTATGATAGGAGTTTTGTACTATAATTCAATCTTTGAGGTGATGGAGACTTCAACTTCTACATTGGGAGTTTATTCTCAACTCATATTATTTTGTCATGAAATTCTTCAATACTCAATTGAAATTCAATTATAGACATTCAATACTCAATTATAGACATGTCAATATTATTGGATGCTTGCCACATGTACAAGGCTCTTAGAATGTAAGGGAGAGGGCAAGAGGTTAAGTGAGACCCCTAGCTCATGTGATGAGGGTTTTCTTATATCATTAGTGAGATCGGCCCGGCCGATCGCCAGATCGTCCCGGGACGATCAGACCAAAAATCGATCGTCCCGATCGTCCGGGACGGTTCCCAGAACTATGTGCAGGCCGATATTTTCTACAGTGAAAATCGGCCTGGAAGATGTAAAATCGGCCTGGACGATCCTGAGAGGAAAAGTCCAAATCAGAGAGGAACAGTAAGGGAACGAGGTCTCACAGGACCACTTGCTTTTTTCCCCATTTGGCTAAACCAAGGCAAGTTTGAGCAGGTTTGTTGGGAGGTTAGGATTGTTGTGGTGTCTTGGCCACCCAGACTCATTTGAGAGCTTAGTTGACCATTTGATTGGTCAAACCAGTCAATGGAGCTAAAGTGGCATCCAAGGGGATGTCTTTGGCTACTTGGGCGAGTGACCAAATATTTGGAGCCATGGGATTAGAGTCTTGGTCAAATACATGGAATTATAGTGGCCAATTGGGTTGACCAAGTCAAATCAAGAAATATTTGATTTAGGGAAGTATTGGACTTGATTGGAATGTCCAACTAAAGGATTTGAGGTGGCCAATTTGGCTTAAAAAGGCTTGAGTCAATGAATTTGATTCTAGTTTGGTGTATGGTTTGTTTTGGTCAACTAAGTTAGCCTAAGGGTTGGGTTTGAGTCTAATAAGTTAAAATGAGTGATTTGAGATCAATGGAGGTGATTTTATGTAATGGAATGACAATTTGGCTTAAAATACCCAATTAAGCCCATAAGGGACAATTTGGTCAACACAAGTTGACTTGGTCAACCAAGCATAAACCAGGCTGAAATTTGAGTCCAATGCTCTCCTAATGATATTTAAGCTGCACTAGAAGAGGTTGCATGGCTTGATGTGGACTAACCATGTTGAAGTTTGGAAAAAAAACTTGAATTTTATCCTTAAGGGGCACTTTGGTCAGGTTGGCTTGACTTGGTCAACCAAGCATTACCAAGGCTAAAATTTGAGCCCAATGCACTCATAATGATGTTAGGGTGCACTAAAAGAGGTTCCATGGCCTGATGTTGATTGGCCATGTTTGAAGTTTGGAGAAAACTTTAATTTTTTCCTTAAGGGGCACTTTGGTCAAGTGGGCCCCTCTGGTAAACCAGGGAAGATTCAATTTTGAATTTAACATGTCATAATGATGATTATGGACATGTTCAAGAGTTTTGGGAAAGGTTCCAATGTCAAATTTCATAAGATGCTAGGTCTAGTGCCAAGGCTGTAAATATTTAAAGATTTTACAATCTTTGGATTTCAATTGAGTTCTTGGGGTTAGAGGTCTCAGATTGGCCTCAAAATTGGAGGGTTGACCCTAGGGACATGATGAATCAATATGCAATTGATAGATCATGAATTGAGGGTCATTTTATTGGGTTTTGAGGTGATTGAAAAATCACCCAAAGAGGGTCTTTGGATATAGGCCTTTGACCTTGAATTTTGGTTTGGATTTTTAGATTTAAATGTGGTTTTGAATTTGATTGAATGAATTTGATTTTGATCGAACTCATAACAAAAATTAGCTCAACAAATATTAGTTAACATTTATATATTTATGATTAGATGGAATGATAAACTCCCTCCCCAAAGAAGATAATTTGATAATCTTAGCAAATTTGGAAAAGGTTGCCCCTAGCTAAACGATGACTACATGGATTTCAACTCCACAAAGTTGAGTTCAAAGGATCCCAAGTGTGTTGATATAACACATCAATTGGATTAAGATAACGAATATAAATGTCTAATTATATGAGCCCAAATAAGAGTTAAAGAAAGTGCTATGACACCCTATTAAGGCCCATCATAAGGAACAATTATTACGTCCTCTGACCTGACGTAGAGGTACGTTCGGCCGCCAATAACATGTCGCCACGTGCTTTTACTCTTTACCGCGCGGCCCGACGACTTGACCCGGAGCAGAACCCGGGAATGCTATGTTCGCGATTTTCTCGGTATTGCTCGGTATTTGCTCGATATTGCTTTGCAAAAATGAGAAATACCGCTCTGTGAACACCAAAAATATACAAATACCAAGTTGTACCTAGTTTTTCTACAACTCAGTACAACTCGGTATTTGCTCCGGATTTGCTCGGTATTGCTACGGATTTGCTCGGTATTGCTAGGTATTTGCTCGGTATTGCTAGAAAAAACTCGGTATTTGCTCAGGATTTGCTCGGTATTGCTAGGGATTTGCTCGGTATTGCTAGGTATTTACTCGGTATTGCTAGAAAAAACTAGGTACAACTCGGTATTTGCTAGATATTTAAAATATATCCAAAAGGTGATGGAATGTTGATCGGCTCGTCATGGAATTAAAAAAACACACGCGCTAGAACCCAAAAAACAGCGGGTCAGGTCGGCGACTTTTCTTCGTGCTACGTGGCGCTAAAAGGTTGGTGGCCGAACGTAGAGGAGCGTACGTTCACCGAACCAAATAATTGTTCCATCATAAGAGCCCATTCAAGGAGAAATAATTAAATATTGAGTTTTAATATTTAAATTTTAAGTATAGGTTTAGAAGTTTGACTTCATTTTTAAGGAACATTTACACGTTGATACTTAACAAATATTGGAAGATAAAATAAATTAACTAGGAGGTTAACACATTCCTTAATCAATTACTATCCACATTTTCCTCCAAAATTTTACTTTTTTCACTTGAATGATGATAGTAATTATAATTATATAAATACGATTGGTACATAATAAAAATTTCAGCTTTTGAATGATAAAAAAGCTGTGAAGAAAGTTATTTTGTCATTATTAGAGCTTGGTGGCGTATATTGGCCATTATCGATGAGATTGATTAATTGCATTTTATATTTTTATTAATTATTTTTAAAGCTTCTTTCAACCGTCTCTAATATATTCTTCCACACTTTAGACGTTTCTCAAGACCATTGATCCCATAAGAATAAACCCAAACCCAATTTGGAAGGTTCCATTACATTTAAAACTTTTACGATATGTGAATATATATAAAAAAATGTTCCATTACATTTAGTCTTACTCCACCCATATATAAACACTTAAATCTTATAAAACTCTACCAAAAACTTCATATCATAAAATAACTCTCATAATCAATTTCTTTTCAAATATCTTTTATTAAACTTGAAAGTTTATTAGAGATGTTAAGCCCTTATGAATTAGCCCGAGATTAACCAAGAGGGAGGGGGTGGTGAATTGGTGTTTTAAAAATTTCTCAAATAGAATTCACAATCTTAAACCAAACCAACATTCACCACAAAAATTAGAGTGTAGAAATTAAATGCAGAAAAGTAATATGAAATAACACACAAAATTTTATAGTGGTTTGGTCAACTTGACTTACATCCACTCCCCGGAACCTCTCCTCCGGGTATTGCACTAAACTCAGTAACTCTCCTTTTGCTCCCACAGTAAGGCGGAGAAGCCTATACAAACCTCATTTCCACCGACTCTGATGAGGCAGAGAACCCAACTCCTTTCGCTTTCTCTTGAAGCAAGCAGAGAACCCAACTCCTTCCCTTCCTTCTAAAGCAGGCAGAGAACCTTGATCAATTACTGAAGTAAACCTCTCTCGCTCCTCCAAGGAATCAGGGACGACAACTGGGATCCTTGCTTGGAGCAACCTTTGTGAAGCCCTCACAAACTCCCCCTCAAAAGATCCTATCTCTCTCTCCCTTACTCTCCCTCTCCTCTTGGCCCTCTCAGGTCAAGACAACAACAAAAGATCACCTCTTGAGTGTTTTATTCATATAAAACACATTGAATAAACAAGAGATCGTATAAAGAAGAGCTTCAAATTTGATCTAAATTGCAATTAATCGACAAATCGGATCGTCTTATACGATTAGTACAAATTCAGCTCAATCAGCCAGGACGATCTAGGGGAGGCTGAACGATTAGAAGTTTTCTTTGTTCTAATCGTCAAAGACGATGAGACATCGTCCTATATGATTAGTGCAAGTCGTCGAATATCGTCCAGACAATCGCTTTGTTCGGCCAGACTTTACCTGTCTGGACGATGAAGAAATAACTGATCGTCCTGTACGATTAGTTCAAGACATTGAATATTGTCCAGACAATCACTCTGCTGGGCCAAACATTACATGTTTGGACAATAGAGAAAATAACGGATCGTCCAGGACGATATCCTATAAAGAACCTCCTATGCACAAACTCTAGTAATGTACTTGCTACATATTTTTTGATACAAATATATTATGTACAAATATTATAATTTATTAAGAAAATAATTTGTTTATTGTTCTTTAATGCCATTTGATTCTCATCAAATGATGGTAATTACAAAGAATGAAAGATGCTCCCTCTAAACATCTCTAGAGACTTCCCTTAACATTTGGCACAAAGAGGAGCTACAACCACAAAACCCAAACTTCTTTACCTCATCTCCTCATTGATGAAATCGAGTCCTCTAATCTCCTCATCTTATATCATTCTCAGCTTCCTTCTACATTGATGAAATCATGTATGTTGCAATGGCTACATGCGTGTCATTCTTGGGTGGCGGCTTTGACATCATTCATTGATAATGGCTTTCATGTCATTTCCCTTACATTGTCATTCACCATTTTGAAGTGTATCTCTCCTCTCTCAACCTTAAGTCCCTCTTCTCAGCCATCTCCTCACATTCTACTCAATAAATCTCATAAATCCAACTTGTCCCATAATTTATCATATGAAAGATTTAGCTCTACATGTAAATATTATAAATTTGATGAAATAGAAAGATTTAGATTTAAAAAAAGCAAGATTTTTAAATACTAGCTAAACGTTGATTAACTTCTGCAACCAAATGACACCTCAAGCAAACAATACCTAAGAGTATACATGAGGCCAGGATTTGTGAGATATATATGCACCGAGGGTTGTAATCAAGCTGAACTGAGCATACTGTAGATTGAACTTGATTTGTCATACTAAAAGTTGCTCATTTCAACATGAGCTTAAGTAGTGTTCTCACATATATGTCTGTGCTTGACTTATTTAAAAGTTTTTCATAATCAAATTTGGCTTGCACTTGACTTGCCTAAATTAATCAAGCATATTATTCAAAGAGCTAATGAATAAGCTACAACTTTTAAATAGTACATATGTTAGAAGGGGAATTCTAACATAAGAGATTAGAATCTAAAAAGAATCATATACTTTTAAATAAATGCATAATATAGTACTATTAAATTAGTAATTAAATAAGTTGGTTTCAATTAAAATTGAATCAAATAATAAACAAGCTATCATTTAGACTTTATTTGGAACATTTTTTTTATTGTTTCTTAAAATGAAATTTTAATATAATTTTTTTAAATTTTTATTGAAACTCCATTTTAAGAATTAATAGAAAAACAGTTCCAAACGAAGCCTCAAATATTATATCAAATTTTTAACAAATTATTTATTGAACAACAAATCAATTTATTTATGAATTAAATTTTATTAAAAATACTTTCATCTATCATTCTAAATAAAATAAAATAAAATAAAAATCAAATTTATACAAAAATTAAATTGAACGAACTTAAATTACCAATGATCATGGCAACTAATGTGACCGGGGCAAGTTATTTTTTCACCCTCCCGGCTCCCGCCCACCCATGCGCTGAAAGCTGAAAAATCACATCCCAAGCTTTTTTAGAAGTTCGTTTATCTAGGGATTCTTTAGGCCTCCGGCAGTTTCCCCGATTTGCTATCGTAGCTTATGATACTGCGTCGAAAGGTACGATCAGAAATCTGTCATATTATTCCTTTTACCTCGCGTGAACCATGAAGCTCTCTGAATCTATGGCTATTTCTGCTATCTGTGGAATTCATTCGTTGTTTATTAAATAGTTTGTTAGTTTCTGCTCTATATTTTGACGGATAATTAGCTTAGTAGTCTGCTGCTGTCCTTCGAAATTACTCCAGATTTCTCCCGTAAAGCCTCCATAGCCGAGTGTCGTGTTTTAGGTTGATTCAAGCTGTCAGTTTGTTCATGTAGTTTTATTGGTATCTGAAGAGGGATAATGTTTATTTGAATAACTCAGTGGAAGAAGAAGGTTTTAGTACTTTTCTTTTCTTTGCCGTAATAATCTGTCATCCATCTTCATGGGAAAGCTGACAGTGAAGTTTGTTGGGGGATGCAGGGTTTGCTTGATGTCTCGTCGCCTACTTCGCTTTATGCCAGCATCGCAAGGAGGGATCTTTATTTTTGTAAAGTTCTTATTTTTACTTCTTCAGCTTGTCTTTCAACTGTTTTCAGAAACTTTGAGGCCAACCACTGCATGTATTGTACTTCATTACCTCTGATAGGCAAAGAGAACAAATCCATCAAATCCACATCTGATCATGAAGTATTAGATCAGTTTGCAAGGATACATGACTTTGTTCTTGGGCCGGAAGAACATGAGTGTGCCCATAAGATAAGATGCATTATTTTAAATCTTCAAAGTAGGAATGTTAATGTTGTCATGCAGGCTCTACAGAGCAATCATAATTTCCATCAAATGCAGCTTACAACAAATACTGTTGATAGTCTGCTCCAAAATTTTGGTGATGATTGGCAATCTGCTATGGGTTTCTTCCAATGGGCTGGTTCTCGGCCAGGCTATAAACACACCACATATGCATATAATAAGATAGTGGACTTACTAGGCAAGATGAAGCAAATTGATCATATGTGGGATTTGGTGGAGAAGATGAGGATTGAAGGCTTTATTACCCTCGAAACAGTTGCTAAGATCATGCGAAGGCTTGTAGGTGCAGGAAGATGGAAAGATGCTGTTAGTTTTTTTGATGATTTGGGACGCATAGGGTTAGCAAAAGATACCGAAACAATGAATTTTTTGCTTGACACCCTTTGCAAAGAGAAAAAGGTTGAAGTAGCCCGTGAAGTATTTATGGAACTTAAGGCACAAATCCCTGCAGATGCTTACACTTTTAATATTTTTGTCCATGGCTGGTGTATTGCACGCAGGATTGAAGAGGCAATCTGGACAATTCAAGAGATGAGAGGCTATGGTTTTCAACCATCAGTGATCACATATTCAACTATCCTTATGGCACATTGTAAACAGTCCAATTTTTGCAAGGTCTATGAGGTGCTTGATGAGATGGTTGCCGATGATTGCCCACCAAATGTTGTCACTTACACCATCATTATTAATTCACTTGCTAGAACTCAAGATGTTGAACAAGTGCTGGATGTAGTTAACAGGATGAAGTCATCTGGATGTAAACCCGATACTCGTTTTTATAATACCTTGATCAACATTCTTGGAAAAGCAGGGCGCTTGGATGATGCTTTCCATATCTTCGAAATTGAGATGGGTATGAATGGTGTCAAACCCGATATATCGACCTACAATATTATGATCTCTATATTTTGTCAGCACAACCAAGAACAAAATGCTTTACATGTCTTGAAGGAGATAGAATACTCTCCTTGCAAACCTGTTCTACAAACATACAATCCACTGCTCAAACTATGTTTTAGAATGGGAAAAATAGATGATCAACTTAAAAGCTTGTTGAGCGACATAACAACAAAACATCACTTGAGTTTTGATCTTGATACATATACACTTTTAATTCATGGCCTATGTGGTACAGGACATGTTGAATGGGCTTATTTTCTTTTTAATGAGATGCTAGGCCAAGAAATTGTTCCTAGGATTCGTACATGTCGGCTACTCATGGATCTAGCTATACAAAAGAATATGGATGTAGCTGTGGAGAGGATAAAAAGTTTGATTAGCAGATCAAAAGTTTGATGATGTGAATTTCTTAGTTGATCTTGTGGATGCTAGAATTGTATGATGATTTGTATAATTGTAGGATAGATTGTAGTCGTAGATGCGTATATTCATAAGACATGTTTTATGTTATATCTTCATTTATATGATTCCCATGTTACAATACCCTTTGCTTTTTTCATGAATGCTCAATAGCTTTGACAGCTAATTGTCTTTTTGGCTTATATACAATTTTTAGCCACATCTGATTTCCTTTTAAACTAGACTTAATTTTGTCAACTGGAAAACCCATTTTTTCTGATGTTAATATCTTCCTTGTAAATGTTTAATTTGCACCCCGTGCTATATTTTATTCAGTGGTAGAAAGAGTTCCCTTGAGGTCATAAGCGAATCTGAAATTCTATTTTTTAAGAATGAGAGGTGAAGGCATTTTTTTCAGTTTATTTGGAGAGGGGAAGCCTCTTAAAGGCCATGGAACTTGAGCCAGTGTTTTATTTTTTTTAAGAATGAGTGGAAGGATGACACTTTGTTGTCCTTCATGGGTTTATTTGGGTGTAAACCCTGATCTTCTTGCATTCAGCTTCTCGTTTGTTGTTAACAAGTACCCTTGCTCATGAACTTCAGCTTAATCAATTCAACAGATTGACATGTATGCACATTTCTTTTGTTTGAATGTCAGAAATTCATAAGCGTTTTTTTGCAGTTTTTATGATTGGACGTTCAAGTTTTATGAATTTTGGCATTATAAGTAGATTTCAGTCATGATGGTGAACACATTCATTGATTGTTAATTATGGTAGAAGATATAAAAATATTTTAATAAATGGCTAACAATCTTTAACAAAGATGCATATGGAAATCATTGATGTTAAAGTTATGACATAGATGATGGTATAGCAAGAAAATTTAAAGTTAAAATGTCAATTTATGGTGGTAAAATTTATTCTAAACCTTTTACAAAGTGATTACTAGATCTAGATATGTTTTTTTTAATGCACTTCATGTTTGATGAATGTCAAGCGTGATATGCAAAAATGCAAAATTTATTAATGAACAAGGAAAGACAAAGGGAAAATTACTTTAATCTAGGCTGACATGAAAGAAATTTTTAGAATAAAAATATTTGTATTTGTCATATCGGGAGCATTTGTTTGATGAATTTGATTAAGTAGGGGATAAAACTATTACTAAATATATAAGCAAATTTGTTGCAATATGAGATCATTGAAGCTCATAAGGCTACACTTTCTAAATTTAACTCTGCTTTGTAATCTAATATCAAGAGAGAGATGACATCTCACCACATTCCATCACTCAAGCATATTTTTCAAGTTGCATTAGACTATGAACAAATGCTAAATTCTCTATTTTAAAGAAGGTTACTATATATTTTTTAGTAGTGCATTTTTTTTTTTTGTGAAAGAAATTAAGTGCAATCTGTGGCATCCGCTATGTCCAAGGTTAGTAATGCTATTAACCCTAAAATTAATAAAAACATTGAGGGAAATTAACCATAGCTTTATTTGGATTTAAGATTTCTGCTAATACATATTTTAAGGGCTATTAAACTGATCAATCTGCTACAGAATATCTTGACATGTGTAGGACAAAGCTTCTCATGGCATGCTAGGAATCATAACAAAGAATTTGCACTAACACGTTTCAGGAACAATGAAAAAGAGAATGAAGTAGAGATTGAAGTTAAGAGGATAGAGTAAATCATCTATTATAGTTGTTCAATGCATATATAAATAAAGTAAGGTTTTAGCTGGGGTAGCATATGCTATTACAAAGGAACAGTTTGGATGCTGCGGTTATCCATCTACGTTGAGGAATAAGTAGTACAATAAGGTTGCTTGAGAAAACAGAGAAAGTAGCCATTATGAAATTATAATTAATGCTAAGAATGACTTGCACGGCTGCTAATCAAGGTCTTATTATCATGCACCTTCAAGTTAACAGTGTTCTTACTAATCGTTTACTTGGTACACAATGGTAGAAAGTATATAATTGCTAAGGCTTTGTTAAACATGTCAACTATTTGATATTTTGTATTGATATGATGGGCAATGAGAGTGTTGTTTTTTTAATTCAATCTAAAAAAAATGAAAATCAATTTTAATATGTCTAATTTTGGCATGAAAAATTGGATTATTAGCAAGTGCAATCATTAACATATTGTCACAATAGACTTCAGTAGGTTGAGAGATGTGCAGGCGAAATTCTTGCAGTAATCATCAAAACCAATAAGATTTTTAGCCGCCGCGGCTAAGACTCTATATTTAGCCTTTATAAATGATTGACCTACAATCTTTTGCTTTCTAACATACAATAAATTAATGTATTTTCAAGATAAACACAATATCCAATGGTGGATTTCTGATCCATAGGATCACCGGCCCAATTTGAGTCTGAAAAGGCATGAAGTATAAGATTGCATAAGGTTATAGGTAAACTAAACCTTTAATCTATTAAAGATGCCTTTTGAGTTGCTAATAGTGGGTCTTCATTGGTTCATGAATATTTTGACAAGGTTTATTTATGGTATTAGGGCCTATAGGCTATATCCGATCATGTGATGGTTAAGTATTGCAAGAAGCCAACTATGTCTATAATGTTTAGCATTTGAGTATAGCTCACTGCTATCGCTAGACACAAGAATCTTTGTTGCAATTAGAGTAGAGAATATTTTACAATCGCCCATGCCTGCTCGGTTTAGCGACTTAGTTACATATTTTGATTGAGCAAATTGTAGTCCCAAGGAGTTTTAGTCATCTGAAGTCCAAGAGAAAATAGATGTTGCCAAGGTTCCGAAGTTTAAAAGTATATGTAAATCTGTTAACAATTGATGCTTAACTCTATCATCATTTCTAATTAGCAAAAATCGTCCACATATATTAACATTTATAGCAGGGTGATGCCTTGATGATGAAACAGGAAGGATCGATAGAGCTATTTTAAATCCAAATTTCAGTAAATGAGACCGAGCTTATTTTAAAACCAAATTTCAGTAAATGAGTGGAATAAGTATAAAATCATTATTTTGAAGATTGTTTGAGTCCATACATCAATTTCTTCAGAAGACAAATATAATTTGAATGTTGTGAAACTTGAAACCTCTGAGGCTGAGTAATTGTCATCTAGTTTACCATGTAAAAAAAGCATTTACATATTCAATTGGAGAATTTTTCACTTAAAGTGATTGTCAAAGTGAGGATATCATCACCCACTCCAATTATCTTTTGAAATATTTGAGGTGAACATAATGGATCTAAGCACTTATAATAGAAGTTTATGTTTTTTCGTTTTACTATAAAATTTTATTGAGTGTATTGAGGCAAAAGCTTTGAGGAAAAATATCATGATAATTAAGGTGACTTCGAAGAATGTTGTTAAAATATTCTGTACATCTATCAAAATGAAGGATTTGAATCTTAGTGGAATATTGGATTTTAATCATATTTTGGAAGAGTTTTAAGGTTTGTTTAGCATCAGATTTATCTTTTTAAGTATATCCAACACACACTTGGATATAATCATTAATAAAGGTGATAAATCACCTCTTGGAATTAAGATTTAGAAATTTGATGGTCCATAAATACATCACTATCCATAAGGGCAAGCTTAATATGTTTAAAAGTAGCTCTTTGGTGTTTAGCATGTTGATATATTTTGTATTGAAAAAATATCTTTATTACCGAACAATGAAGGAAATATCTTTCTATGATATAGAAATTTAGGATTGTCCAACCTATAATCTATAACATAAATTTAACCCCCTCTTTTAGGTGATCTTAAACAATGTGAGTCCAAATGGACTAAATGTATTGATTGTGCTTTTGCTAAAATCAAAGAGAGCTTTACAAATTCACCTATGCTTAATTTGCTTGATTTTAATAAGGAGTTTGAGGGTTTTTTATGCATACAGTGTTCTTATTGGTGAAGTATTAAGACATAAAAGTCATTCCATTACATTCTTTAATAAGGAATTAAATGAATTAAAATAAAAATATTCAAATTAGAGTAGTGAGTTCTTTACTATTGTACAAACTCTTCAATATTGGAGACTTTAACTATTATTTAAAGAGCTTTTATTATACTTTGTTCTTCAGGCTTTAAAATATCTGGGTTTTCAAAAAAAAAAAAGAAGCTAAGACTTATAAATACCTAGTAGAATTTCTACAAGAATATTCTTTTGACCTCGAAACATTGCATTGAAATTGAAAATAAAAATGTTGATGCTTTGAGTAAAATTTTTGTTCTTCTACGAACAATTTAAGGCGAATGTTTAAGATCATATAAAAAAGGACTATGCCAGTTATAAAGATTTTGGTATGGTTTATGAAGAATCAAATTATGACTTATATCTGCTTAAGAAAGACTACTTGATTAAGGATGATTATTTATTTAAATGCATCTTTTTTTGTATTCCTAATTGATCATTGATGGATTTTTTTATTTTATAATTACATGATGGGATATTATTAGATGTTTTGATAGAGATAAGATCATTGCAATGATTGAGGATAGGTATTCTTAACCAACCTTGAAAAGAGATGTAGCATGTGTTCTTTCACAATATTGGACTTGTCACTATGAAGAAAACAAAATACATGTTTGTACAATCCTCTATCAACATGCTGGTATGGATTTTTTATTAGGTTTAGTATTAGTTGAGGATGCACAATTTTATTTTTATAGTGATAGTTTGCTTTTAAAAATGTCACATTTCAACCATGCTTAAAATAATTATTTATGATCAAAATGTAAAATTCATGAGTTATTTTAGAGATCTCTTTGGCTGAAAATGAAGATTTTTAATTTCAATTGCTTACCATCTACAAAATAATTGATAAATTGTAGTAAATGGAAGCTGAGAGATATGTTAAATTTTTTGTTAAAAAACAATGCATTTTGATGGGCTTATGACTTAACTTTCATACAATTCATATGCTAATATGCTGATTTGTCCATTTGAGATTGGCATAGGGTATAAACTTAGAAAGCCTATAAATCTTATTGAGCTTCTTATATAATCTAGGCTTAGCACATTTGCACGATTAATCTAATAATATATGCGTGATTTGTATAAGGTTATTAAAAAAAAAAAATTTTAATTATAATAATTTAATCTTTTTGGTTGATTTGTCGGCATGATTTGAGCATCTCTAAAATTCTTTGTATATCTCCTCCATATTTTGGCTTCTATCCCTGCTTTTAGTAAAGCAAAATCATCATCC